CCATCCATCCACCCATCCGCCATCCATCCATCCATCCGTCCTCCATCCATCCATCCATCCATCCGTCATCCATCCATCCATCCATCCATCCATCCATCTCTCCAACCACCCATTCATCCATCCAGCCGTCCATTCATCCATCCATCCATCCATNGTTCCCTCTCTGTCCCTCTCTGTTCCCTCTCTGTCCCCTCTCTGTTCCCTCTCTGTCCCTCTCTGTTCCCTCTCTGTTCCCTCTCTGTCCCCTCTCTGTTCCCTCTCCATTCCCTCTCTGTCCCTCTCTGTTCCCTCTCTGTTCCCTCTCCGTTCCTTCTCTGTCCCCTCTCTGTTCCCTCTCTGTCCTCTCTCTGTTCCCTCTCTGTCCCCTTTCTGTTCCCCTCAGGGTCTGCGTTCTGGTCCTGTCTTCCTGCTATCTGGCCTTCAGGATCGTTTCACTGGAACAGAAACTGACGATGCTCGGCTCCATCAGCGACTTCACGCATCACGAGTGAGTTTCAGTCTCAGTCGTTTCAACAAATTATTTAAAATAAAAATCTAATCTAGTTTGAGAAACTTAAATGTGTAGAAAAGACTGAATTTTACCAACATTACATATATTTCTTTATAATTTAAACACTATAAAAACACACATTTCTCTGCACTTCAGCATCTCTGTCACAGACCAAACAAACCAGCCGACCAGCATCCAGCTGAAACACAAACAGCAATAAGAAGGAAATAAACTTTGGTTTGTTAACATCGGCCCGGTTCTACTTATCGGACCGATACCAGCACCGGTATCGGTCCGATAAATTGTGATTTCCTATGTTTTGTTTGCATTAATTTTGACTTTGGACGACTTTTGGTGTAAAGAAAAGTCCAGAAATCTTTAACTGCAGATATTTGCTTATGTATGCAGAATTTTTTGGAGGATTCCCATGTTCCTCTGTGTGTGTGTGTGTGTGTGTGTGTGTGTGTGTGTGTGTGTGTGTGTGTGTGTGTGTGTGTGTTTTCCTAGAAGCAGTCTCCTTCCTGGGAGTCCTGATGTGAACACGGAGCTCTTCTCTGAACTGTTGGCCATCAACCTGCTGAAGCTGGAGAAGGTTGGTTTTCCTGATCCCATTAAAACTCGTCGTTTCTTGATGATTTACAGGTTCTGAACATCTGAGGGTAAAATGAATAAAGTTTTCCAGAAATCAGAGGATCACTGGAAACGACAGATCTTCTGGTTCTCTTGTGCTTTTCTTTTTTGAAACAATCCACAAAATTCTCCTTTAATCTCTGGAAATAGTTTTATTCGTCCAACTCACAGACATAACTGCAGGAGGAGAAAAAAGCAGGGAGGTTTTTCAGGTAAAACTCTCTGATTGGCAATAATCAATAATTTATAGTCAGCGATCTGACCAGAGAACCGTGGATCTGTTAGACAATCCTCGTTGTTCAGTCTGAACTTTGTTTCTGAGAAACATCAACATTTGGGTCTGCAGGGGATCGCTTCTACAGTTACACTGTAAAAAATAAAGCAGTAATTTAGGTTATTTAGTCTGTCATAAGGGGAAAAGATGGCGGCTCATTTTCAACATTTTATTCAGTCATTTGTAAATATCACAGTTTAGATTAATATTTAGCTTCAAACTACGTATTTTGTTAGGTCCAAACTAAATATTTGGTTAGCAAGCTAAGTATTTATTTGAAGCTAAATGCTAACCAACTAAATATTTAGCTCCATATTGAATATTTAGCTAGCGATCTAAGTATTTAGCTCTAACTAAATGTAGGAAGTATGTCTTCCTTCAGTCCTTACAGATTAACTTCGTTCATAAAATATTTTACTGTATAATTTACATCGTAACTTTTTGTACTGATTAATAGTTTTGCTCATATCGATCGTATCAATAATCAAATCTAACCTACATGAATCTAAACAGTTATTTTGTTTCTGTGTTCAGAATCGTCCTGACAGACTGTCTGTGTTTCCAGGTCCAGAAGAATCTGCAGAGGCTGCTGGAAGAAGCTGCATGACTGAACTGGGAACCAGTATGAGAGCTTTGTACATAAACTGTGAATATTTAATTTATTCTATGCAGGCAGTAAAACGGGAACCTGCTGCAGCCGAGGCCTGAGAAATTAATCAAACTGTAAACTGACTGACTTTCTGTTAAATTCATGCTGGCAGTGAAACCGACGCCTACTTTTAGAAACAAACAGTGACGTCGCCCTCTACCTGCAGGAAAAGTATCTGCATCCGATAACTGTAAAGAAGCCATCAGAACCAAACTGGATCAATGTGAACAATTAACTGGCTTTGACTAGGCCAAAACACATCTCCAAAGGTGGAGCTGCTGGTGGGAATCAGTAGCTGCGTTTCCGTTACAAATGTACGCTAAGCTGTGTTAATGTCACGCTAATGTCGAAAAACAGAGTTTTATAATTGCAGTGTTTCCATTAAATCAGAAACACAATTAAAATCAAACAGGAATAATTTTGTTCCTGTAATAAGTCATTAAAAACACGCAGCGCCGCCATCGTCCAACCACTTCCTGTCTTCTTCTTCTTCATGGTTTACGGCAGCAGTAACATCTGGTTGTTGATCATGTGACTCGTGTGACGTCAGACTAATTTTGATAGAAGCACAAAACCTTTTTATCAAAAAACATGAGTTTATTTTTTTCTCATTTATTTTCAGGCATGAAAATAAATGAGAAATAAACAATAGAGGCAAAAACCTGTTTTCTTTTTTTATAGAAGGAAATGGCAAAATAAACAGACGCTGTAAGGAAAGTAAATGACTTAGTGGAAACGAATATATGCACAGCAGCCAGTAGCATTAAAGAATTGGACTTTGTCACGAAATAACTAATGACCAAAGTTTTTACGTCTTTTTTCATAAAGCATTAAACCCAGTAAACTCTTAAAGCATCATCTGGAAATCATTATTTCTGATTTAGGTGCTTTTCTCCTGATTTTATTCAAGTTTTTGGACATTTCTAGTAGCTGAATCTAAATAACTTCAGGTTCATGTTGTTCAGTTTGTTTTTTCAGTTTTGTGTTTTTTTAATTCAGTGTTTTACTCAAACATGTTTTAAACTCAGTTTATTTCAAACTATTGGAAACTTGAAGGATGCATGAATATGCATTTCAAATAATTTAACATTTAAGACTGAATGTGAACATGTGCAGACAAAAACTGGGTTAATTTTTTAATGCATTAAAATGTTGTGATTTATTAAATCTATTGAGGAATAAATGCTATTTTGGGGAAATGAATTCATTTTGGGAAGTAATTATCTATTTTTAAATAAAAGTTTATTTTTGCTGTAATTTTGTCCATTTCTTGTTTTTTCTCATGTTTCAAACATGATTTTATTTCACAGCTTTTACAGAAAGGACAGTTTGAGTTTTTACTGAAGCTTCAGTTACAAAGTCTTCATCCTGTTGGATGTTTTTACAAATCAATCAACAAAATTTGGCTTTTTGTCAACAAAAAAAACAAAAACAAAACAAAAAACCTTTTTATGTCAAAATTCAAACTAGTTTCTGCAAAACGAGGATGAAAATATTAAACAGGACTTCAGTATTTAGTAGAGCTAAATGATGATTTAAAAGATAAAACATCCAGCGGTGTGAAAGCTTTTAAAGCAGTTAAATATACATACCACTTATCTTTGATTTTTATTCATGAATAAAATGTTGTTTTTTATTTATCCATTTTTAAGATAATGTTGTGGTTTCATCATTTGCTGCTTCTTGAACTGATAAAAGTGTTAAAAACTGGAGACAAAATGTTCATTAAAGGAAAGAAGCTGCTGACGTTTCTTGAAGAAATTTGAGTATTTCTGTTAGATTAATAATTTAATCTGATTGAAAACCAGAAGGATAAAAAGTGGGTTATTAGAAGCTGCTTAGGGCCGAAGTTTGACGAACTCAGCTAAATGATTAGCAGGTTCAGTTATCGGTTTCCTGACTGGAGGTTTCTGCCGTTAATCCTCGGCTGTTTGAGGAGGATTTTCCTGGAGACTGTGATTCTTTTCAGGGTCAATCCTAATTCCTGCTGATCTCAGAGACCAGCTGATGATCCGTTTCTGCTCAGCTGGAGAATCTTTAACCGGAGGCGATCCATAAATTACTAAAACCTAAAATAAAAACTTGGGTTCATTTATTCTCCTTATTTTAATTTGACCATCTGGTCAATTACCAACAGAAACAAATCTGCTGCATGAAAATTTGAAGAAAATTTTCTACATATAATTAATAATTTCTCAAAATGAAATGTATAACTACCTTTCATATTTAAATAAAAAAAACTGGAGCTGATGAAGAAAGAAGTTAAAGAATTTGCAGATTTTAAGGTTTTATATCAGTGAAGATGTTAAAGTTTGGTAATAAAATGAGAATAGGTTCAACTCGTTTCCATATTTTCTGAAGGATTTTGATTTTCCAGACATTTTTCTGCAGGGATATCTAAACTGTTTGACCTGCCTGCAATCTGAAGTATTTGAATGATTCGGAAAAGATTCATCCAGAAAACTGTAAATATCCATAATCCATTAAAAACTAAAACATGTCTTCAAGAGGGAGATGACAGAACAAATGGAATATAAAAATGTTCTTCATCCTATTTATAATGTTGGTTTTATAACTTTTGACAGTTTTAACAGAAAATTCAGCAGATAATTTCAGACACTAACGGCTGAATCTTTCCTGTAGTTCCACTTTGAACCAGCAGATGTCGCTGTTTGACTCCGCTGTATTTGATCAGCAGGTGTTCCCTCTGAACTCTCAACAGAAACACTTAAAAATCACAAACTGAGCAGAATTAAAACTGTGCAGCAGAAACTTTAACTGTTTCAGGATAATAATCATGATAAAACGTGTTATATTCGTTCCGCTCAGTGATAAAATGACTGTAAATGAAGTGATTTAGCTGCAGAATCAGAAGCTGTGCGCAGGTTTGTGCCTGCTGGGTTTGTTGTTCAGTGTTTGGCGCAGAAAGCGGCTGTTGTTCTCTGTATGCTAATCCCGCCGCGGATCTGTGTGAATGTCTCAGTGTGTCACCGATAACAAATGGCTTTGTCTGAAACGGAGCTGCGCACCAAACCTGCAGAATATCGGAAATATTCTCATTTCCTGCTGGTTTCAAAGGCTAAAAGTATAAATATGTTTTTAATTAAAGTTAACTTTAACTTTTTTTTCTTCAGTTATGTAAGTTTGTTTTGATTTGATTGTTCTGATGCGCTCCGTCCGTAATGGCCTTCATCCCCCTCCTCTTCAGCTCCCCTGCAGCGCAGAGGGAGGAGGAGACGCACTCATCTCAATAAAGCCCTTGATTCATCATGTGAGGGAGAAAAACGCAGAGTTGCTGCAGGGTTCGGTGTCCTTTACGCACGGACTGCGCATCTCCGCTGTGCGTCCTGGCGCATCCACCCGGAGCTCAGCAGGAGAGAAAATATTGTTTCTAGATTCGTTTCATATCGGATTTCTGTTTCCACTCAGCTTGTAGGACGATATGTCTGTGAAGTGACGGTCCGGTTCGGAGCAGTAAAACTTTCCCTCTGTTATCGTTTGAATCATGTCGGAAAGGAAACCGTCGCTGAGGGCCGGCGGCTCCGCGCAGAGCCGCTTCCAGGTGGATGTGGTGACGGAGGGCTCCTCCGCCGCGGCCCCGGCCCAGGCCCCCGCTCCAGAGGAGTCCAAGGGCCGCTTCAAGGTGGTGGGCTTCATGGACCCAGGCCTGGGCCCCGCCGCGGACATCGGGCCCCCGCCGGATGTCTTCCACGAGCCGGACACGGCAAAGAGCGACTCCGTGAGCCTCCACTCCACGGGCACCGGCCAGACCCACATCTCAGACTCCCACTCCAACACCTACTACATGCGGACCTTCGGACACAACACCATCGACGCGGTGCCGAACATCGAGTTCTACCGGCAGACCGCGGCGCCGTTCGGGGAGAAACTCACCAGACCGTCGCTGTCGGAGCTGCACGACGAACTCGATAAAGTAACAATAATCAGTTCAAAGTCATTTTAGCTGGAGGAACATTAGAACGAAGACTCGGACTATAATCTCAGATTACAGTCTGAGATTTAATCTCAGAATTCAGATTTTTAATGTTTTAATTTTTTAGACTTTTTTCTCAGAATTCTGAGGGAAAAAAGTAACTTTTTGTTCAGTGTCCCTTTTCCTCTTCCGTACTTTTGACTTTATTTGCACAGAAAGTCTAATGAACTGTAAAACGTGTAAAACTGTAAAACATTAGTTTTGATCTGATAAATTATTGATGAGGAGAGAATAAAACCTGAGTCTGTGGCATTTCCCTGCTGATTCTAAGGTTTTTCTGGCTGAATGAACCGATAACGACTCTTTTTTAAGATCTCTGGCAGAAGCTAACAGATGTTTTTTTTTCCATTACTTGATCATGGCACCAATTAACGAGGGTCTTTGGAGGAACAACTGGCCCACAGCATCACAGGTCCTCCACCATTCTTCCTTTGTTTCACACCAGACTCAGTGGGAATGGTTGCAGATAAAAACCTCATTTTATCTAACAAACGGCTAAAAATCGTCCCATCAGAGTTCAGCGAACTCCATGTTTCTGTTTGTGACAGAGAGGGATTCTTTTCTTCTTTTTTCCATCAGTTTTCCATCAGTGAGTTTTGGAGATTTGAAGGCCTGACAAACATGGAGCCTCATTTAGCCTAACAACCATCAGGTTCTTCACCATGCTAACATTTTAAATGCTGCTGTTGATACTGGGGGGAAATAAAGGTGCAGAGTTTGTTCTAGTCAAGACTTTAATAATAAGGCTCATTTCTGTTGGGATAGATATGTTTAGATAGACAGCACCGTTTACAATCATCAGCATTTACAGCCAATCTGTTTAGTTTTAAAAGCATCAAAGCATAAAAACACGACTGAGAGTCAAAAGCAATTAAACCTCTTTTCTTTGTGGTTTTTCAGCTGTAGTTTTAGTTTACTTGCTCTGTCAATTTAGACTCCAATCTTTATTAAAACAAACTCGACGCCTTTATTTTTCCCCCAGTTCTACAGGGACACTGGCCCCTGATGGCCCCCAACTAGAACCGCCCATGCTGCAAACATAGAGGCCCCACAGGGTCAACAGAGCCAAACGAGCAGGAAACTCTGGTCTAGATTCTGTTCTATAAACTTTAATCATTTTTTCACTCTTTAAACATCTCAGACATCAATAAATGGTTCCTCAGAAATTTACTTTTGTTTAAGAAATTTTCTGAGATTAATCTAAAAATTTCTGAGTTTTTTGGTTGAAATGTACTACTCTTTTTTGTTTTTAATCAACAATGGCCCTGATACGTCATCCTACCAAAGAAGTGCTGAAGAATTTAGAAAACAAATGTTGAAACTCTGACCTACTTTCTTGATTTACCTGGATATTTTTCCTGACATTCCTTCTTTTTGTCATTTCTTCTCCCTTCAGGAGCCGTTCGAGGACGGCCTGGTCAACGGCGAGGAGCCGTCAGCAGCAGAGGAGGCGGCGGCGTTGATGGCGAAGGAGGCGAAGGGAGGAGCGGTGAAGTTCGGCTGGGTGAAGGGCGTCCTGGTCGGTGACGACAGCTGGAGTCTCAGATAAACAGAGTGTTTGCAGTCAGGTGTTGTTAACCTGTAGAAACCTGTTCCAGGTGCGCTGCATGCTGAACATCTGGGGAGTGATGCTCTTCATCCGGATGTCCTGGATCGTTGGACAGGCTGGAATCGGTGGGTGGAAATCTCCCATCCAGACAAACGTTGAAGTTAAAGTTGTTCCTGTTTGGTTTTTATTCTCAGATCTGATCAAAACCTTGTTGGACGTGAAGTGAAGGAGTTTTTTGTTCAGGTTTTTAACGGTTTATGTGTTTTTGTGAAACAGGACTCACCATCGCCATCATCCTCATAGCCACTCTGGTCACCACCATCACCGGCCTGTCGACCTCCGCCATCACAACCAACGGCTTCGTACGCGGAGGTGAGGAACCGACCAGCAGGAGGGAAAAAACTTCAGACAGAAGGATTCAGTTCTAACCACATCTAAAATCTATTTCTTTCTGACTTTAGGACTAAAATAAATAATATTTGCATGACAGAGTATCAGGGCCAGACAGAATAACAGAATAAAGTCATAATATTAGCAGAAGATTCAATATTATCAGACAAAATATTGTGAAAATTGTTACTATAATCTCTAATAAAAATAATAAGATTTAATTTAAGAGTTGTTGTGCAACAGTCTTTGTCACATGTTCATATTAATGACTATCTGAGGTGGAGCGTACTACCTGATCTCCAGAAGTCTGGGTCCAGAGTTCGGAGGCTCCATCGGTCTCATCTTTGCCTTCGCCAACGCCGTGGCGGTGGCCATGTACGTCGTGGGTTTTGCTGAGACGGTCGTTGAGATGCTCAGTGTAAGAGATTTATAAAATATTTTAAACCCGTTTGTCTGATGAAGATTAGGCCTAAACTGAAACATTTCCCTGCAGGATGTCGACGCTCTGATGACTGATGAGCTGAACGACATTCGCATCGTCGGGACGCTGACCGTCATCCTGCTGCTGGGAATCTCTGTAGCTGGGATGGAGTGGGAAGCCAAGGTAAGGCAACGCTGAAAAAACAGGAAATTATAAATTTGGTTCATTAAAAATTATCAACCAAAGTTCTTAGTTTTTACAGATTCACCAAAAGAACATGGGGGATTTTTTTCACAGTCATGTATCCAGTAGTCAGTTCATGGAGCACCTTGAAAAACGTTCTCCTATTTTATAAAGTTCTTTCCTTTAGGAATCTATGCTAACATTTTGTTTGTGAGTTAAATAAAGTTTTATTTTTTTCTTTTGGGTAAACACATCATAAACTTATTAAGTCTTAGCTCCAGATTCTAGTGCAAATATCTTATTACACTTCTAATAAGACAAAACTTCTTAGACAAAGTTCCCATCTATCCATCCATCCATCCATCCATCCATCCATCCATCCATCCATCCATCCATCCATCCATCCATCCATATGACTTATTTTGAGTCATTAATTCCTTAATTTTGAAGAAAAAGTTCTAGTTCCATTAGCCCATTATTTCATTTATAACATGGGGAAAGTACTTTGTCATAAATGAAATAATCTCAGTGGAACTAGAACTTTTTAATTAAAATTAATGAATTATTGAGTTAAAACAAGCTCATAAAAGAAGCTCAGTAATTTTGCTGAAAAATTACTTTAGTCTTAAACGTAGCTACTAGAAACAAAAACAAAAATACTTGGTAAGATTTTATGTTTCTGCTTCCTTTCCATGCAGTTCTGTAACTGGATCAGGAAAAGTTAAATGAACCTTTACTCCTTTTGTTCTCTGATCCATCAGGCTCAGATTGTCCTCTTGATAATCCTGCTAGCGGCTATTGCTAACTACTTCCTCGGCACGTTCATCCCGGTGGACAACAAAGAGCCCAAAGGATTCTTTGGTTACCACAGTAAGCTTACATCCTACATGCCAACCGTCCTCTTCAGTCGTTACTCCAGGTTTTATTTTACTCTTTTTTAACTCTCCTGTTTCTCAGCTGCCATCCTCTTTGAGAACTTCGGTCCAGATTTTAGAGAAGAAGAGACGTTTTTCTCCGTGTTTGCGATTTTCTTCCCTGCTGCCACTGGGATCCTAGCAGGAGCCAACATCTCTGGTGACCTCGCTGTGCGTTTTTACCGCATAAAATAAAATCTATTTAAATTTCTGTCAGATACCCATTTTAAAATATCTGGTGTTCCTCAGGGCTCTGTGTTGGGACCCCAAAAAAGATGAATCGACTTGTTTTTAATGTTTTCTGGTTTTGTTTTCATAAAATAATCTAATTAAAAGTGAATATTTTCATTTCTCTGCCGTTAGGACCCTCAGTCTGCGATCCCTAAAGGAACCCTGCTGGCCATCCTCGTCACAGGCCTCACCTACGTGGCTGTGGCCGTTTCTGCAGGTCCAGTTAAATATACATTATTTTATTTTAGCTACAATAGATCTAATGTTCAGCTAAACTGAAAATAACTATATTTAAGCCCATTGCAATAAGCAATCAGTTAATTAATTGAATGCTAAATTAAAATGAGCTCCAATTTGATTAATATTTTGTGAAATGTAATTTTGCTTAGTAAACATATAATCCATATTATTTATGGTTTAGAACGTGTGAAGTTATTATTTCTATTTTATTTATTGCATCTGATTATTTTATTTTGGCATTGTGGAGTGTCCTTATTAGAGTTTTAGAGGGTATTCTTGTATTATTATTCCACCATTAATATATTACATGAAAATGGTCTCAAAACAACAATATCATTTATTGCAACAACTTCTGGGACNANTNANTATTTGTATATTTAGTATTGGATTATTTTTAAGACTCTTTTGGTTTAAAATCAAAGCTAAATTCAGATGAAATGTCGTTGTTTTTGCTCCATCAGTGAAGTTGCTGTTGTTTCTCTCAGGTTCCTGTATTGTTAGAGATGCGACAGGCGACCACAACGACACGGTGAGCGACACGGTGAACTGCACAGACGCCGCCTGTACGCTGGGCTACGACTTCTCCATCTGCAAGGAAGGAGGCTGTCAGTACGGCCTGATGAACGACTTCCAGGTAGAAACACCTGAGGCCAGACGATGCCTCCAATTTAACCAGGTTTATGGGTGTAATTACCTCATCACAGTCAGGACTGTGGATGGTGACATTAGCGTCTGTGTTGCTGCTACATGTTTGTAGCATTGAGATGCTACTTTAGGTTTGAATAGCTTTGCAAATAGGCTAACTCCTTTTAGCACAACTTTAACAACAGCAGCCTGTTCCAGCGCCCCGTCACGTCGGTTTTAGAAGCAGAAATTAACCTGCAGTGCGCCGAGGGAAGCTGCTTTGTCGGCTGTCATCGTTGTTTGTGGATGTAGCTTGTGCGTCAGATTTAAGGTCGCACCAGAAACGCATGAATGCAAAGGTTCCGGCTGGGGATAAAAAGCGATTAATTGCTCTTTTTATTTTTATTTTTTTATTTTTTTAACAAACTGCGTGACTGATTAATAAAATTGAATGCGCTAAAGACCAAATACGATCTTATTGTAGATTATGTAATAAAATCTGGGCACCACATCTATCTTATTAGAGCTTCAGACTAGTGTTATAAAGTCTCTTAATCTGACACCAATAATACAATAAATAAGAATAAAAAGTCACAGTTAATGGTAATCCTGGTAAAAGTATTACACATCTAAATTGAAATTGTTTCTGTTGATTTTTTTTCTTTATGATCCTGTTTGTTGTGTGTTTAAAGCTGTTACACACTCAAAAATTTACAGCAATATTTTGGGTTATTTATTTTGTCATGACAACAAAAATTAATTAATTTTCAAAGTCAAATTTTCATCATCCAACTTCAAATTAAAAAATAGCTAGCTTATTAAGTGCTGGGAACTAAATATTTAGCTTACTGAGAAGTTGATAATCTGAGCAGATATAGGTCACTAATCTTGCTGTGTTTTATGAGGACCACCTCCTAACATGTTCTTGTGTCTTTCCTGTTTTGAAGAGCAGCTAAGATATTTAGTATGTGAGGAAAGATGCAGAGAAGCTTGGGAATGTGTGTTACGTAAAGGCCAGGGAGCGGACAGAGAGTGACGTGCATCAACACACCCACCGTCATTGTTTTCCCTGGAGGCCCATCGCTCTGTGGCTGCTGGCGATGCCGTGACAGGACACAACGCTGTCCCACTTCCCAGAGTCCAAAACATGTCACAGCCGTCCACACGCCGCCGCGGCAACAGCAGGACGCCATCATTGTTTCTGCTGCTGCAGAAAACTGTCATAACTTAATCTGGTTAGAAGGTGTTGGAGTGATGCTGAGGGAGAGTAGATGCCCTCAGACTGGGTGTGTGTGTGTGTGTGTGTGTGTGTGTGTGTGTGTGTGTGTTAGAAACAGAGCGGTTCTGAGCATCACGCAGAGAGCCGTACAGAGATAATGGCATCTGTTGTTCTGGGTCACAAGATTCGTGCTGGTCGGACCTGAATGAGCGCATTATGGCCGCCGCCTGCGCTCACTTCCAACCCGCTGACACTGATCTCACTGAGCGTGCTCCAACACACCACGCTGCTGCTAATGTGACCACAGGACTCTGAACTAAAACACACTCTGGAGTATCTGTTACAGCCCAGCCAGGGCCGGCCAAGGCCTTTTTGGGGCCCAAAGCAGATTTTCATTCTGGGCCCCCCATAACAACAGCTTTATCATTTCTACGCTACTCTGCATGTTTAACATCGCTACCACAATTAGCATCATGTGTAATTAACTTACATCATGTCAGTGTTATCATGTCTTTTAATATGGCATTTAAATTTAACTGAATAGCAAATGGAAAGAAAAAGATTTTGAGATGCAGAATATTAAATGTGCTGTTATATTTTAGTTATTTGTAAGGAACATCAGCTGATAACAAGTTTTACATGTTACATGTGATTAATTTATTATTTGTGTACCGGCTATAAAAACAATATAGACATTCTTGTTTTATAGCATTTAGTTTGTACTATTCAGTGTTATTTTCAATATATATTTTTTATGTTAGCTGGTGCTCTTTGGAGCCCCCTGGTGGCCCGGATGTTTAACTTGCTTATGTCTTGGGCCGGCTCTGATCCCAGCCTTTAGGAGGCTCTCAGCCTCTGTTTCTGTTTATGAAGCAGCTCTCAGGTCTGATCAATGAAAAAGAGAAATTCTGGATAAATAATAAATGTTTTTATGTGTGAGAACATAGCAGCCATTTAACCGGGTGTCCAGAGTGTATTTAAAATAAAAACGTGTGTGTGTGTGTGTGTGTGTGTGTGTGTGTGTGTGTGTGTGTCCAGGTGATGAGTCTGGTGTCGTACTTCGGTCCGCTGATCACTGCAGGGATTTTTTCAGCTACTTTGTCTTCAGCTTTAGCTTCACTGGTCAGCGCACCCAAAGTCTTCCAGGTCAGATGATAACTTTTTTATTATATCCACAATTTGAGTTTTTGTATTTTTTAACCCTTTTTAATACCTATATTTTATCTTATTTTATTGTTTTATTAGAAATTAATACAGGTTTTCATTGTTTAATTTAATATTTTATTTACATTTTTTATTTTTTTATGTTTATTATAATTTTGTTCCATCTAATTTTATTTCATCCTGTTTTACTTTCTTGCAATTTTTGTTTAAGCTATTTAAAAAAATGATAATTTTACTACTTTTTTCTGTTTTCTTTCATTGTTTAATGAATGAAAATAGAAATAGTCTTTTATTTGATCGTTTTATGACAATTAAAGCATAAAAATGGAGCAAGTCAGGTGCAAAAAGCGTTTTGTCATCCTCATTTCCAGTTTTTCTTTTCATTTTCTTAAATAAATGAATAAAGTGAGTAAGACTCGGAGGCCCAGATGTATTTTCTGACAGCAGCTGCTGCTCTGCAGGCTCTCTGTAAGGACAACATCTATCCTGGTCTGGGGATTTTTGCGAAGGGTTACGGTAAAAACAACGAGCCTCTGCGCGGATACGTCCTGACCTTCTGCATCGGCCTCGCCTTCATCCTCATCGGTGGGCAGCAGAGCTTCAGCCTCAGATAAAAACAGAATAAATATCTAAACACAGAGCTAATGAACGTTTTTGTGTCCGACCAGCCGAGCTGAACATCATCGCTCCCATCATCTCCAACTTCTTCCTGGCCTCTTATGCGCTCATCAACTTCTCCGTCTTCCACGCCTCCCTGGCCAACTCTCCAGGTTAAATCCATAAAATCAAACTTTATTCCTGCAGAAATCACTCTGGCGTGCTGATTTCCTGTTTGTCCACAGGGTGGCGCCCTAGCTTTAAGTACTACAACATGTGGGTTTCCCTGGCGGGGTCCGTCCTGTGCTGCGTCGTGATGTTTGTGATCAACTGGTGGGCCGCCCTCGTCACGCTGCTCATCATCCTCGCCCTCTACATCTACGTCGGATACAAGAAACCAGGTGGGAACGAGACGGAGGCAAAACCACAGAAGAAGAACTTAAAGATTCACCATCAGCGGAAACATCAATGAAAAAATACACAAAAACCTGTAAAATGCTTCTAGTTTTTTTTCTACACTAAAAATGTCATAATAACCCCCAGATAATATAAAATCTCAACATACCAGTCATTTTAGAGGTTAACTGAATGAAACGTCATTGATTTGTTTTTAAAAGATGTAAAATTCCATATATTTTATATTTTAGTTTAACTCACATTTATCCATCCATCCCAAAGGGCCAAAACTGACTAATTTAAATGAACAAATACATTATTAAATTAAATGAATGTACCATGAAATAGCGACATTAAATATAATTCAATATGTCATCAAATAATTAAAATGCAATCTTATAATAGCAGAAGTGTCTCAGTGCTGCCCTCTTTGGGTTGAACAGCAGCTACTGCAGTTTTCCTGCTGGTTGGCGTATAAATCCAGGCTGAAATCAGCTGTTTTAACCCTGCATCTACTTTTTTAAATTTAATTAATCACTGATATTTTACCTCTGTCTTCTGGATTCTGCCTGTGTTTTAACCCTGTAGATGTGAACTGGGGTTCGTCCACTCAAGCTCTGATCTACAACCAGGCTCTGACCCACTGCCTCAACCTGTCCAGTGTCGAGGACCACGTCAAAAACTTCAGGTCTTCTTCAGAAACTTTACAGATTCTCACCAAAAGCTTGTCTGTTTTTTCCATGATGCGTTCTCTTTGTTTCCGTTTTCAGGCCGCAGTGTTTGGTTCTGGCCGGTTACCCAAACTCCCGGCCGGCGCTGCTGCAGTTGGTTCATTCGTTCACCAAGAACGTCAGCCTCATGGTCTGCGGTCACGTCAGGACGGTGCGAACTGCACTCAGCGCCCTGCAGGAATGTTTCATGCAACAGTTTCTCCAACCGTGCCTCCGTCTCTTCCTCCAGGTTTCCCGGCGGCCAAACTTCAAGGATCTGTCCCAGGACTACGTTCGGTGTCGACGCTGGCTGATTAAAAAACGGATCAAGGCTTTTTATTCTCCGGTTTTTGCAGACAACCTGAGGCACGGGACGCAGTTACTCCTGCAGGTACAAAGACCGATCTCAGATCTGATATGTGGATTAAAACTTGTTAAATCCAAATTAAAAGATTCTCCATGATGACTTCTTTGCTGCAGGCGGTTGGTTTGGGTCGTCTGAAGCCCAACACGCTGGTCATGGGTTTCAAAAACAACTGGAGCGACGGAAACATGAGAGACGTGGAGAATTACATCAACACAATACAGTGAGGGCCAAAATTTAAAAATTTATCTGTTGTAGTTTTAAGAACATCAAAAATATCCGTCCATTCATTGTCCTGATCCAATTGAGATCTGGACAGGAAACACGGTTCCTCCAGAAAGTTCTGGGTCTCACCAAGGTTCCCTGAAAACAGAATTTACCTGAATCCACTGACTTCCTTTGTATGGTGCAATTTTAGTGCCAAGACTAAGACTACTGGGCACCCAGCGGTGGAAACGTCCTTGTTGCAGGAAGCTACAGCGATTCCAAAGACAGATATTGATCTGATTAATGATCGACCAGAACCAGCAAATCAGAAGAATACTGGCTAGCATTAGCTTTGGAGAGGCTAACTAGCTTTTCTAGGCTGGTCATCTGCTACATTACCTACTTCGTATGCTGTCCACTAGCATGATAAGCTAGTGTTGGCCTTGGATAACATGCTTCCTAGACACATTTCTCCTACAGGAGATCAATAAAGTATCTTCTCTTAAGTAAACATTAATCTTGCATATGCTAACATCAGCCTTTGATAGGTTAGCATCTAGCAAGCTAATCTGGTCACTTGCATCTTGTACAGCAAAGAAAAATAGTAGCCATCTATAAGCGTCATATGTTAGCGCGTCGTTTCTGAACTCTCTGCCCTGAATATTTTAGTCTCTATTCCAGATCTGCTGATTTCATCATCTTCTCTACATGCCATGAATCTTTAGTGACACAAAGTTTCGTTGTTAAACGTTGCAGTGATGCGTTTGACCTGCAGTTTGGGGTGGTGATCCTCAGGCTGATGGATGGACTGGACATCTCTCACATTCCAGGACAAGGTACCTCCAAGTTTTTACTGTAAATATGTCAGTTTTCAGCATCTTCTGAAATTCATTCTAATGCAGTTCTAAGTTTTAGGAAATGTCAGAAACAAAGATGTTTTAATCTGTAGATGAGCTGCTGTCGCCCAGTGAGAAACCGCCAAAGGAAAGCAAAGATGTTCTGACTTCCGTTGGTCCGGCTAAAGACTCGGACTCGGATTCCTGTCCATCCAAAACCCACAGCAACCAGAGCAGCCCGCTCATCATCAGAGGTAGAGGAAAACCTGACCTGCCGCTTCTAATCACTGTTCATCACATTTAGATGTTAAATGTTTTACTCTGCAGCTACAGAGACCAAAAGTTCTCTGAGTCTGACTGACCAGCGTCTGCTGGAGAGCAGCCAGATGTTCAAGAAGAAACAGGGGAAGGGAACCATCGACGTCTGGTGGCTGTTTGACGACGGAGGTCAGATTTTAAAAATTATTCCACCAAACTTATGAACCCACATTCAGACAGAACCAGTGTAACACTGTCAGGTTCTGTTTTCCATTTTCACTGCACTGAACTGTTCAGATGTTTGTTTAGTCCTTTTAATACCAGAAACCAGAGAACAACAGAGGAAATCCTGCTAAAGTGAAAACAAACCTGCTTTTTGTGTTTTCCTGCAGGTCTGACTCTGCTGATCCCCTACCTGCTGACCAACAGGAGCAAATGGGGCGATTGCAGGATCCGGGTCTTCATCGGTGGAAAGATCAACCGGATCGACCACGACCGCCGAGCGTGAGTCTCCGTCTCACGTTTTCTGTCCAGCCGTTTTCTGTCCCGATTGCTCCAATCTGCTGCTTCGTCTCTGCAGGATGGCCACGCTGCTCAGCAGGTTCAGGATCGACTTCTCTGACATCAACGTCCTCGGAGACATCAACGTGAAACCCAAAAAACACAAGTAAGACCCAAACGCCTGCTGCCTCTCCTCCGGTTTAGCTAAACCTGACAGGGTTTAGTCTCTGATTCAATGGAAACTCAGCTGGTAAATCTGCTATGAGACCAAGAGCTCAGTAATAGAAAATATTAAATCTGAATCACCTGGAGAGGAAACTATGCAGTCCCAGCCTGCAAATCGCAGCGAAACTTTTACATTTTGACACCAAATATAGCTCAATCTTTGCAGCTAACTGTGTTGTAAAGACATAATCTAGAGATATTTCCAACAGTGTTTTTGCTGTGACAGTAAGCTGAGCTTTAAGGAGCTGATCGAGCCGTACCGGCTGAAGGAGGACGACATGGAGCAGGAGGCCGCAGAGAGGCTGAAGGCCCAGGAGCCCTGGAGGATCACCGACAACGAGCTGGAGCTCTACAAAGCCAAGGTTCTCTCTTCTCACTCACCGACCCTGATGAAAACCTGAACTCAGTACTGAAACAAAGATGAATTTATGATTTCTCCTCCAGACCAGCCGTCAGATCCGACTGAACGAGCTGCTGAAGGAACACTCCAGCAGCGCCAAGCTCATCGTGGTGTAAGAACTGCTTCAGCTTCCTTTGAGAGAAACGAACCGATTTATTCCCTTGTTACAATAAACCTGACATCAGCTCAAAGTTAGCTGCGCTAACCCTAGAGCACCAATCATAAACATTAGCTCTGCTAATGCTAAAGTGCTAACTTTAATTCAAATTATATCTGAATGTAAGCAACAGCCTGTGAGCACCAATTTAATTTTGACATTTTTAAACTTTTAAGAAGTATAACTAAGTAAATGTTTTTTAAAGTTAGCAAAAATGCTGAAGCGTTAAATGAAACATTAGCTCAAATTCACTTTAACCTTCAACCGAAAGCTTATAATACAGTCAAGTAAATTAGCGCCTTGGAATTTCTCTGGAAAAACAAATTTAGTCCATTAGCTCATTAGCTAAAGTTTACAAAACAGCAAATTATTTTATCTGTAAAAATGTTTAGGGGAAGCAAAGTGCGCTACATGTTTTCTAAGTTATCAAAAATGCTAAAGCGCTAAATGAAAAGTTAGCTTTGCTATTAGCACATTAGCTGAAGTCTGCCCACCACTGCTAGTTATGCTACAATGCTTTCGGCTTTATCACATCATAGATCAGCATTAAAACGAGTAATATTGTGCCTTCCTGAACTGTATTTTTAGAAGTTTTTGATAAATATACTCCTGTGATTTCAAAGTTAAGATATTTTTGGGATGTTTTAATATTAAATGGCTCTAATGATTGTGTGTGTGTGTGTGTGTGTGTGTGTGAGCAGAAGCATGCCTTTGGCCAGGAAGGGCACCGTGTCTAGCGCCCTCTACATGTGCTGGCTGGAAACGCTGTCCAAAGACCTTCCTCCGCTGCTGCTGGTCCGAGGAAACCACCAGAGTGTCCTCACCTTCTACTCATAACGCACACACCAACACCGGCATGGTCACCGTTTATTTATTTCACATTTACATCTGCACAGAAACGGAAACATGATCAGACTCCAGGTTTTTAAAGGTTTCCTCCCGTCGGCGTCATTAACTTCTCTAATATAAAGCTGTTTATACGTTTATTGGCTTCACCTGATTGAAGACATTTTAATTAATTATGGTCAACATTTAATTTAATGTGTTCAAATCCAGGTGTTTTATTCCTCTGAGTTTCATGTTGCAAAATATTGTTTTTCTTTTGTAATAATTTTGTAGATGATTTTAATAAAATATTAACAAAACAGAAGTTTGGTTGATTTTTTATGTCTGGTTCTGAGGTTTCATAAAGAGAGAAACATCAACTGATCTTGCTGCCATATAATAATGGAATAATGCTAATGGCTTCACCACCATGCAGCCCTGAGGTAACGGTGTTTGGTTCTTAAAGGGACATGCTCCCATTTGGAACTATGAAAAATTTAAATTAAATTAAAAATATCCCATATCCCTTGTGCTGTGTGTATGTAGCACTAAAAGGGATGAAATTAAATAAATACATCTTGAAATAAAACAAATTACCATTCAATAATGTTTAGCAATATATATTTTAATCTTTTTATAAAATTAATTAAAAATTCATATAATTATTTTATTCCATATATTTTTAAATAAATAGAAGAAAATAACATGTATTTTAGAATATTTTGGGGGTAACAGGCTGAAAGGTTTGGCAACATATTTTTATACTTTGTCTGAAACTGAAGTGAAATTGCTTAATTGTGCCTCAATCTTAGCCAGTGAAGCCGTTTCTGATCAGAGACTGGTTCCAGATCTGGAGGAAGAAATCCATATTTTTCTACTTGAAAACCAGAAAAAATATTTTAAGAGCTGTAAAAATTAAGACTTTCAAGAAAGAGAACAGAACTAGTAATCAAATGCATAACACATCAAAACTATGAAGCTGGAGACTTGGGGATAAGGCTTTGAGGAGAGAAGAAGAGAAAAAGAAAAAGAAAAAAATTACAAGACAATAAAACATCTCTGAATTCCTACAGTGCAGGCAGCGCCTGAACGCCGCACAGTGTCTGTGTTGTCCTTTGAACGCAGCTCGTCGCCGTTTATCCAACAGCTGAAAGGTGAGCAGAAGGACGCGGCGAACAAGGTGAGCAGACGCTCATAATCATTTTCTACCTGGGAATGAAATTACAGGCGGTAGTTTCCCGGAGTTAAAGTCCTGGTGAATCTCCTGGTGTTTGTGTTTCTGTGTCCCGGCGGGTTAATGAACCGGAGGAATCGGTAAAATACATGTGAGGTTTTTAACTTCCAGGAACTGAGCAGGAAGTGATTCCGGGTGTGTTCAAGCTGAAAGTCAGCTCGCTTTCCGGAGACAGTTTGTTTTATAACAACTGGGATTCGGTGGGCGGGGCCTCGATGTGATTGACGGCTCTCTGGTCCAATAGGAGAGGGAGAAAATATTTAAAGGCCCAGAGGACTTTTGACTGGAGTCAAGTTTATCTCAATTATTTTTTCATTAAAATTTATTTATTTTCCTTTTTGTTCTGTATTACTGAAACTAAAATAGATAACAAACAGAGTTATATACGTCTTTAACTCTGATGATTCTGGCTTACAAAAATGAAAACTCTAAATAAAATTTAAATTATAAGATCAAAAAGAATTATAGACATTTTAATAAATAAATGTGATTTTATGACTTTCACCATAGACACTGAGATCTACGATGAAGACTGCAGTGACAGTCTATTTTATTTAGTGGGAGCTAAATATTTAGTTAACAAGCTAAATGTTTTTGTAATAAGTTTTCAGACATGCAGTTTGAAAACTTAAGCTTCATAACTAAAAAGGTGGAACTAAATATTTAGCTTGCTAATAAAATATTTAGTTAGAGTTAAATATTTAGTTTACTAACTAAATATCTAGTTGGAGCAAAGTATTTAGTTGAAAAACTAAATAGTGGGAGTTAAATATTCAGTTTTGAAACTGAATATTTAGCTTGGAGAAATGATTTGCTAATTTATTGAGAAGCATCTGCATTTCAAATTTCACAGAAACCGAATCAGTTACTGAAGATAACTGATAAATAAAGTTGTTAGTAAGATTAGAGCAGCTGATTTATGTCTAACAGAAGATTATTTGGTTTTTCCAGATGACGAGTTTACAGCTGAGCACCAAAGAGGAAATGTTGGAGAAGTTTCTGGACGCTGCAGCAAGAGGAGACCTGTCCCAGGTGTCCACCGTTCTGTCCAACGTCCCTTCACTCATCAACGAGACGGGACACAGCGGCTGGACGGCGCTGATGCTAGCAGCTCGTAACGGCCACCACCATGTGGCGGAGAAGCTGCTGCTGCTCGGGTGAAACGCTGCTCCTTCCTCTGCGATAATCATGATTAGAGACGCACCGATCCACATTTTACACTTCCGGTACCGATACCGATATCTGAGGTTTAGTATCAACCGATACCGATAACAACTGAATGACTTTAAATGTTTCTTTTTTAAAAAACAAAGACATAATGTCCTAAATTACAAATTTATTTGATAACTCTGCAGAACTCTATAGAACTAGATGGAATAGATTTGACCTTATGGATCACCGATACCAATCTGGACTTTTTTTCAATAATGGACAGATACAGATATTAATATCTGATCAGTGCATCTCTAATTATGATTCACTATTCAGGTGATAAAGAAATACAGAACTGAGTCAAGAGGTCTAATCTAAAGACGCCAAACTCAGTTTCTAAAAGTTTCTAGTCAACGTTTAAAATGCTGTAAACTTCCACAGATGTTTACTTCTGAATCTAATCTGTTTTTGTTTTTTTTGTCCTTCAGTTGTGACAAGTTCTCTGTGAACAGTTCATCACAGACTGCCTACGATATCGCCAAGTTCTGGGGTCACAGACACATCGCCGGCCTGCTGGGCCGCGCGGCCGATGGCTGCGAGCGAATCCTGCCCGGCGCCGACCTCCACCCGCACGAAAACTACTTCAGCAGAGAGACGCTGGACCGGCAGAGTGGGAAGAGAACCGATAAGGTCTGGTTAGAGGCCAAACAGAGCGACTCGGAGACCGTCTACCTCCTGTTCTCCAACCTCAGCCCCATGGTCAGAACGCAGCAGGAGGACGGCAGTGAAGCGGTACGACCCTGAGGCTAACGGGTTAGCTTCGACGGGTTGATCGGGTCAAAATACGACGCTGCAGAAAGTCACCACAATGATCAACTATATACTGGATTAAAGGTTCATCAAAGTAATACAAGTAGATACAAAGATTTCTATTTTTGACGGATGAAATCAACTAAAACACATTGGTATGGGTAGATTGAGCATGCTAACGCTAACATTAGCATGCTAAAGAAAACTTTTAAAGGGAACCTTTGATTTTCATTTTGCTCAAAATGCTGAAATACAATTTCTGTGATAGCATAAAGAAATTTACTTTACCTACACAGTCTTATTTTAATAATAAATTAAAAAGTAAGATGTTGCACTTCTAGCTTAATATAATAAACAATATATATTTTTTGTTTCATTGTTTTGTTTAGTGCCACCATTTAAAAAAAGATCTAAAACCGCCACTGGCACAGTGAAAACTTGTTGAAAATGTTCAAATGTAACAGATTTCCTCCTCCTTTGCGACAAATAAATGGATTCTTAAACTAAATTAAAATAAGTCTAAATATCTACTACTAGCACTAGCTAGCAAGGCTTGATGTTAGCATGCTAAAGCTAGTTTTCTCATCTCATTCACATCTGATGTGTTTTAGTGTTTGTTCAGGGAACACAGAGGTAATTAAGTGCAGATAATTATGAAGTACAACTGAATTCATTTAAATCAGCTGGTTGGACAAATCTGTTGAGTTCAGGTCAGAAATTTGAATCCAACATGTTCAGATTCATCTCAGTCATTTATTGTACCTTTTACGGCTCCACCTGCAGAAGGGGGACATGAAGCTGTGCCGGTTCAGGTATGAGGAAGTGAAGGATCTTCTGCTGAAACCTTCAACCGTGACGATCTTCCTCGGAATAGAGAAGATGAAGAACCCGTCCTCTTCCTCCTCCTCTGAGAAAACAGAGAGTCTCTCTGAGCCTCCGGTTTGGTTCGCCATCAACACAGACGAAGACGCTGCTGCCCTCCTGGAGCGCTGCAGAGAAAAGAACTGTTCATTTCCAAGAAGTCCCAACAGAGACCTGCTGAAGCTGAGCGAGGAAGAAGCAGGTGAGGAACTTTTTTCTTCTTCTTGGTTTTCCCGCTGGTTCTTCCTGAGCGGTGATGCTTCCCTATGTGCGGCTCCAGGCGTCGTGGCGCAGGCCCGGTCGGTGCTGGCCTGGCACAGCCGCTACAGCTTCTGCCCGACGTGTGGCGGCGCCACCAAGATGGAGGAGGGCGGCTACAAGCGGAGCTGTCTGAACTCTGAGTGCCGCAGCCTGCAGGGCGTCCACAACACATGCTACCCAAGAGTCGGTACGAATCTGCCGCTCTGCTCCTCAAACACCAACATCAGCAGGAAAGTTTAGTCAAAGCTACAGAAAAACAGCAAGAAGGTAGTTAAGAGACAAGCACCAAAAAGTAGAAGTTCTTATGTAATTCCCAATTTTTCAGCTGTCACCTTCAGTTATTATAAAAATGTGAAATGGATCAAAGATGATGTAAAAAAAATTGACTTTATAATTTAACACCTTGAAATTGGGCCTCTGTCTCTTTAAAAACTTCTGCTCTTTCTGAGACTCCACCTTCAGGAAGCCATTACAACATGCCTCCTCTATTAACCCTTTAATTTTTTTTACCATTGTTGATCTGAAAAGCAGCTCCTATAATGAACTCAGCAGGTGTTTGCTAACTGCTGCTGGCTAGTCTGAAGGAGCTGAGTGGAGGAGGAGCTGTGCCTCGAAGGCGGAGCTAGGTTCTCCCAGGTGTTTGCACAGCTGAGTGGTTGGCGTGGAGACGAAAGTATTTCTCTAACATTCATTAAAGAATCAAGATTTTGGTGAGGGAATAACATTATAAAGTGATGGAAAATCATAAATGTGATTTTCCATGATACTGCTCCTTTAACAGTAAGAGATCATAGTTATAATGAAGAGTTAATGTTCAAACTAAACAGAGCATGAACACATCCCTGTGGAGCTCCATAAGCAAGTGAGATAATGCAAGAAAATAATCGTAATAATATAAGAATAAAGTCATGCAACAATAGTTGTAATATGAGAATAAAGTAATAAAACTACAGTAAAGACAAAATAATACAAAAATAAAGTGGTAATAATATGACAAAGTCATAAAAATATGAGAATAAAGTCGTATAACAATAAAGTCAAAATAATACCAGAATGAAGTCTTTTATTGGGTGAACTTCAGTTCACTTATTCACCACTAGAGGGAGGCTTGAACACCAACAATCAGAACTGGATCCATTTATCTGATCTTCAATGAAAATACCTTTAAAATTCTCCTGGTTTAAAATGTTAATCTATTTACAACATGTGAAATTTCCAGGTAAACATTGCACACAGCTTAAAATATGATATTATACAGTTTAAATAAGTTATATTGACCTTTTTTTAAAAATCTTTTTATGTAACTTTATTTCTGATCAGACGTGAACGTGGATGTTGTAAACCTGTTTCAGACCCGGTGGTCATCATGCTGGTGATCCACCCTGACGGAAACCAGTGTCTGCTGGGCAGGAAGAAGGTTTTCCCCGTCGGGATGTTTTCCTGTCTCGCCGGATTCGTGGAGCCTGGTGAGCTGGTAGCACACACACACACACACACACACACATCCTGGCCGTGGTCTGATGTCTGAGTGCGTCTCCATGGCTGCAGGGGAGACGCTGGAGGAGGCGGTGAGGAGGGAGACGGAGGAGGAGAGCGGCGTGAAGGTGGGCCCGGTCCAGTACGTCTCCTGCCAGCCGTGGCCCATGCCCTCCAACCTCATGATCGGCTGCCTCGCCGTCGCCGTGTCCACCGACATCAAGGTGGACGAGAACGAGATCGAGGAGGCGCGGTGGTTTCCACGGCAACAGGTCAGCAACAAATAATCCTGACGACGTTAAGAGACGTTATTTTTAGGCCTGTCACAATAACAGATTTTACTGGATGATAAATTGTCCCAGAAGTTGTTGCGATAAATGATAATATTGTTGTTTTGAGATCGTATTCAGGTAATATAATGGAGTAAGTTTATTGATCTCAACGATCAATAAACTTTAATTCTGATGAACATTTCACCCTGTAACTGGAAAACACTTTAAATATCCAAACAAAACAACAGAAAAGCAAATAAAAAGATTTATGAAGACAAAAAGGTTTAGTTGAGACCAAAACAGACTGAAGACTTTTGTCATCCAGTTTTTGGTAGAAAGAAAGAAAAATGATAAATCATACAAAAGGAAATTATTAAATTTGTTTTGGTTTTGCTGGATGGATTTATTAATTACCAGTTTTACCCATTTTTAAAGGGCTAGTATCACGTAAAGTCAACCTGTTCTGTCTTCCCATCTTATTATAAATTTTTTCCCTCATCAGAAACAAACATGGAGTGTTGCTTTGACTCTTTCATGCATGTCTGAGAAATCCTTTAATCTCCATGGCAACCATTCAGCTGTGAAACACCTGGCTGGACCTAGCCCTGCCTACAAGTTCATGGCTTTGTTTGAGCCATGAACTTGTTGGTGTTTTTTGGATCGTTGTCCTCAGGTTAGCTTCAGTTCAGTTCATCTTCCTCCTCTGAAATCAGAATCAGCCGCTGCAGACAGAAGGTTCCGACTCTCATTCATCCTCTCAAATAAAAACACAAAACTGAGTTTTCACCTTCTGTTTCTAGGTGATCGATTCTTTATTCAGAGGAGACCGCTCAGTGTTCGTCATCCCTCCCAGACAGACAATCGCCCATCAGCTGATCAGACACTGGATCTGCATGAACTCCAACCTCTGATACGAAACGTTCAGGAGACGATCTGCTGCTGAAACAAACGTTCAAATGGACGAAACATCTGATTTTAAATGAAACGCATCAACTGCTGGACTATAGACTGATCTCCACACGGTGCTTCAGGTTTTACTTTTTATTTCCTGGTTCATGAAGAGAAACAAATATTTACATAAAGCAAACAGAAACCACAGAGGAAGAAATCTGCTAGCGTAGCTTTTTGGAGATTGGAGAGTAACAGATTATTGTCATCAGCAAAGAAAAATCATTTTTCCAGGGAAGTAAACCTTAAAAGGTTTTGCAAAAATGTTTAATAAATTCCCTGACTTACCTTGACTAATGTAGCTGGGTAGAAGCAACAGTTAAAAGAAAAAAAATCTTTTAAGTCCTTTTGTTTCATAAAACTGTTTTTATTAATGTCAAACTTTTTTCTGATTCTTTTTTCCTGCATCAAATTTAAACTAGTGCTGCACATGTTGGATCTCTAATCAAATAAAAGATCATAATTGAATATATTTCTTTTATAAGTTGTCATTTCAGATGTTTTTATATTTATAACGAAGGTTCATTAAAGCAGTTTTCTGTTTGTGTTATGGATTTTTCAGCCACCAGGGGTCAGTGTTCCACCTCTGAGTTAATGCAGGACTGTCACTGTTGGTTCTGATCCAGCTGCTGGTTCTGCTCTGAAGCAGCCGTTTGTTAAATACTCCACCTCAGAGACCGGATCGAGCGGTCCAGTCACTGGTTCCGGTTCTTTCTGGAAGTCCGTCAGGAGTTCTGGAAACCGAAACGTGAACGCCTGATGATGATGATGAGGTGGATAAACGTCTTCCTCGCTCTGAGGAGAGCAGCCGCTCTCTTCCTGCAGCAGAGGAACTTCGGTTCCTCCGATCTCCGTTGTAAAAACTGAGTGAAGAGAGAGCAGCTGCTGCTCTGTGATTGGCCGAACGTCGTGTCCTGTGATTGGTTTGGTACCAGTAACCTCCACAGTGTCCAGTTCGACTGAGAGGCTACTGATTGGTGGCAGAGACTTCTCCTTATGCAGATCTGATGAACGCAGGTCGTTTGGACGGACCAGGATCAGATGCTTCTCCCCTAAAACGTCCTTCACCTGGAAGTCGGCCACATCCAGGAAGTTCCTCTCCGGACATTTCTGAGAAAAACAACAGAAACACTGATGAAGACGTTTTGCTCCTCCAGTGATTTTTAAATGTTTTGCTTTCAATCAATAAAAACTTCTCATTTGCTATAACCTTACATTTGTGGTCATTAACCTCAACGTTTCTAGTTGCTTGGATATTGCGTTGTTATTTTTCCTGTTGCTTTAACAGAGAGTGAAGTCAAAAGCTGTTAAGTTTATTGCTGTATTACTTTTCTCTTCATTTTATTCCTCCAGTCGTGCCACAATGTGTGCTCTAGTTAACGTGTAACTAACCGCATAGCTCCGTCCCCAAACTAACGGATTAAAACTCTACCAAAGTGGGCGGAGCAAAGATAGAGGGGCGTGGCCAAGTGTCCATGTTGCCCCCAAACACCATTTTATTATTTTCTTTGCTCTAGTTGTTTGCAGAATCTAGTTAATTTGTTCATTGTTTTTACTGCATATATTTTGGATTGTAAAATCTATTATTGGAGGAAGAACTCTTCCCCAAACAGAAACGAAATAAAAGTCAGATCACCTTCAGGTTGGGGTTCAGCAGCCACTGGCCTGCTGTGCTTTTTCTAGGGCTGGAGATCGTCAGGAAGAAGTACGACTTGTATCTGCACAGAAATGCCATTTATACTCAGAATGACAAATATACAAACATGAAGGAATGATCTCTACAAGCAAAATGTCCTTCAAGAGCCGAAGTCACAGGAAATCCTGAGGAAAGCTGAGTTATCTTGTCACCTTCACATCTGAACTTCCTTTCTCAGTGAAGTGAAAAATAACACAAACCATCAAAGTTCACTGAGGAGCTTTAAGTTTCTGTGGTTCAGAAACGCCTGGAACTAATAAACAGAATTAAAGGCTGTTCAGTAAGAAGAAATTTTAAATTTGTTTTCATTTTAGAAACTTATAAATAAAAATTTATAAATGTTAATATAACCTGCATTTCAGCCTGTTAAACAGAAACAACGGACGGACGGACGGAGCAGTATTATCAGATTTCACGTTCGTCTCCAGTGACTCACAAAGTTCTGGAGAGGACGGAGATGATCATCACCATGACGACCAGGAGCAGCAGAGGAATCACCGTGGCAACCGCTGGAACTTCATCTGAGGAAGAGAAAATCCCAGAATATCAAACCGGCTCCAACAGCTTCATCCTCTGAGATGCTGGTTTAGTTTGGCAGATCTCAGATTACATGTTGCTGCAGTACCAGGCTGTCACCAGCAGGTGGTGCATGATGATAGAGCCAATGAGCAATAGGAAATGTCGGATTTCCCTCATCTAAAAACAGTCACCATAAACAGTCCAAACTCCAATCAACCAGGAGTTCCTCACTGCTCACATCAACTCGTTGCTTTTTAATTTCACACGATTAAAAACAACCAGCAGGTGTCTCTTTCATTTGAGTTTTGAGGCTGAACATCTCACCATAAAGAGTGGCCACAGGGATGATTCTTAAGGAAAAATTGTCAGCCAATAGGAGCACAGAATACTCAGTGCTGGGAGTCAGGTTGGAGAAGGTGTGCTGCTGCTGCTGCTGGTCCGGCCACAAAGACAGAGCTGGAAAACACAGATTACAGACCTGACGGCTGTTCACAGGTTGAAGAAACAAACATTTGTTTTTATTTCCTTCCAAGCAGCCAAACCTGGATAATCAAGCTAATTTAGGTGAAGCTAATTAACAGTGGTGGGCACCTCTATCTAAAAATGTAGCTGTGCTAACCCAAAAGCACTAATCATAAACATTAGTTATGCTAAGTCTAAAGCGTTATACCAACATAGTTTTTAGCAGATGCTATTGCTAAGCGCTATACCAACATGGGGCTGTCAAAACAATTTATGGTTGTGAAGTTTTGCATGCATTTGTTTAACACCCCTAGTTGTTGTAAGTGTTGTATTCTCCTGTATACTTTATTTGTTTTTACATCATGTTATGTATAAATATTAAAGAGCTCTGCTTTGTCATTGTGGCTCATTGACAAAATCACAGCAGAGATTTTGATCCACATTACGATTAAAAATATGCATAACTTCAGGTGAAAACAGACTTTGTGTGTCGGCGTCTCTCTTCAGCCTCGCTCGGTATTGGCCCACTCTGATTGGTCTAGCCTCCATTTGCTCCTGCTGCCGCCGCTGCCACGCCCACAGGATGGTTACCGTGGTTTTAGTGACGCTGACGACCTTCAGACTGACGACCTCCATCAAGACTGAGAGAAAACGCAGAAGAAAATCACCCAGAGGTCATAGTTCTCTTCATCCTCTTCGTTAAAAGCAGCGGTCACCATGGTTACCTCCATATTGCAGACTAGCGGGTAGAGACCGAGGAGGTCCACACTGCTGGTTATAGACGGGGAACACACTGACCAGGTACGACTCACCAGGGTCAACACCTGGAGTCACAAACAGGGTCAAAAGCTCTGAACAAGATGGAGAACAGAAACAACCAACACACAAGTACAAAGTTTTCCAAAGAGATTTGAAGAAGCAGCTGCAGCTCAAACACTTGTGTTGCTTTGGTAACTTTAAGTAAATTCAGCAAATAAATTTTTTAAAAATATTACAGGAAATTAGGGCTGGACAATACTTTGTTTCATGATAGATGTATTATCAATATCAATAGATAACGCATCTATAAAGTATTCCATATTCAATATATAGAATATTCACTGAACTCTGATCCAGAACCGCAGGGCATTGTGGGATGTTTAGGCAGAGGAAAGACACGCAGCTAGCAAAGCAAGATTTGGTGGCATAAACTAACTCCCTCGCTCTTTGGTTACCTAGCAACTCCATCGCTCTTTGGTTACCTAGCAACTCACTCGCTCTTTGGTTACCTAGCAACTCCATCGCTCTTTGGTTACCTAGCAACTCACTCGCTCTTTGGTTACCTAGCAACTCACTCGCTCTTTGGTTACCTAGCAACAACCTGCTGAGAAACTTGCACAGCAGCAGTTCCAGGTTTCGCTAACAAGCCTCATAACTACTTAAAAACTGAAAACTATGGCATGGAGTGAAAACTGGATAAAACAGGAAATGTCATCAGCAGTTTGGCAGTAACCATCCAATCACTGAATAGATGCTTAGTACAGATAAATGTGTGGACGTTCCAAAACTTTTTCCAGCTCAACAGAAACAAAACTGAAGTTATCTTTGTTATAGATCTAGAGTTATAGATCTAGTTTCAGCGCACAGCTTCAGTTATTACTGCTGGAAACCTGAGATCAGGCTGAACTCTGGGTTTGAACCTTCAGAGACACATAAAGACAGTTGCAAAGTCGGCCTTCTATCACCTGAAGAACATCTCCAGGATTAGAAACACCTGAATAGATAATATTTTTTATAATTTTGAACTATAAACATGTCAGGTGACCTGTGATGACAGCAGAGGAACTGGAACCGTTGACTCTGACCCATCGGCTGCTGGATGAGTTCTCTGATCGCCATTGAACAGCAACATGGCTGCCAGGCGGCATGGTGGGGGTCGTCCACTGGACCTGCAGCTCTTTGTTTTCAGGATAAACCTGGGAAATCCACAGGTTCCTCACAGGGAGCCGAGCTGCAAGAGGAAGAAAGTTTCACGGAAAATGAAACGGTTAGAGAACCCACTAATGAACGAACACGTTTTAAAAATCTTCTCATTTTAAAGTATCCATCAACACGTTTGATGTATTGTTCAGTTTTTCAGAGGAGGCGGAGCCAAACAACCCTTGATAATTTAACCCCACCCATCTGATGAGGCAGCAGCTGTGATGTGACAGGAAGTAGTTTTATCCAACATCTGGTCACTCCCTCTGTGAATTCTCAGTTTCTCCTCTGATAAGAAACTCAAACTCACTCAGGATGTTGCAAAACTGAAGCAACAGAAATTAAAATGTGACACTTTAAAAGATAACGGTCAACTTTCCTATTTTGGTGAGAGAGAAGAAAAGTTTCCTGTGTTTGATTTACGATAACCTGAATCTTCTGATCAGTGAAGCTCTGAAACTCACAGTTCTGATCCTGTGTGTTGATCTGAAGTCGGGTTGTGGGTCCGAAACCGGCTGTGTTGAAGGCTCGAACTGTGGCACTGTAGTTCCCCTCCTTCACCACCAGGAGGAAAGTCGTCTCGGTGACGTTTTGAACGTGTTCGTTTGGGTCGATGCGGACCTGATACCCGAGAACCCGACCTGGATCAGAACCCTGAAATAAAGACAAAACACAGAACAGAAGATTCTTTCACACGATTATAATGTTTTGTTACTTCTTGAATTATTAATCAAGACTTTATGAAGTGGGTTGCATGGTGGAGCAGTATGGAGCTAAATTAGGGCCATAAAATGTGTTTAAAAAAATTTAACAGAAATTTTTAAAAATAGTCTGAAGCTTAACTGTGATCAAGAAATGTGTATAAAATTTTAATAGAGCCAAATTAGGGCCTTAAAATTTGTTTAATAATTTGAAAAAAAGTAAGTAAATTTGAAACTGTAAAATAATGAAAAGGTAAATTTAATAATGTAAATACTTTGCCTGATATTAGCTAAAAGCTGAGCAAATTTTTTCATTTTGTGCTTTTAGCGCATTTAGCTCCTATCAAATTAATTTTTCCGTATACATTTCATATGTTCAGCAGCTGGTTCTTATCTGACAGCAAGAATTGATTCGACATGTTTTACCATCCAGATGAGATGAAGGAGGAGAGACTCATCATCGCCTGTTTTCTCCACTCTGTAACACAACTCTGCAGGCCTGGAGGGAACTGAAGATATAATGGTTAAAAATGATGTTAACCCATCATTTCAGTAAATTAATATGAATAAATAGTTTGTACCTCTGTCCAGGGTTCGTACGGTCGTGTCTCCGCTCCAGTCGCTCCTGATCAAAGAGTCTGAACTGATGAGAGCTAAATCAGGCCGGGAAGTTTTGACTGCAGAGACCAAATAAATGTTTTCATCAGTCAGTCGACTTTCTCAGGAGCAGAAACAGACGACAACACAACCAAACTACACTTTAACATTTATAGATAGTAATGTGTGCACCAGTAAATGTTTAAAATCCACACAAAAAGAAATAAAAACACCTTGTGTAAAAACAAGATATGTCCTCTTTAGCACAAAACAAATTCACATGCAAACCACCGAGGACAGTGTGGAAACAACAGGTTTAAAAGGAGATCAGAGCATTTTCTCACTCTGATAACACGTTCAAATCATATAGTAACATCTGCAAATGACGCAGTGACACGTAGACGGGATATGGACTTGCACAAGAGGAAGTTACTGATGCAGCTAAATACAGAAAATGTGCACAAAACAAAGTGTGAGATGGAAAAAAATTACATTTTCACAAGATGAGATTTGTAGATAAGATATCTACAAATCTCAAAACTAGACATGTAATATAGGTGCAAAACTACGGTGGCCAACAAGTCCAAATGCATGAATGATGTAAACTCCAAAACACACAAAAAAACTAATGCAGCAGAAAAATGCTGCAACAACAGGAAACAGAAGCAAAAGAGAAAATGCTGCAAACAGGAAAAAAAGTTATAAAATGCAGCAAATTCACGAAACAAAACAAAAGTCCTCCAGACCACTAGGGGGAGTCGATCAAATCATACCGGACTAGATAATGAAGTAAAGATTGTTGTGATTTACAGGGATGACAAGAAGAAAATTGGAGGAAAGAATTATAATATTTTAGAACAGCAGGATATTTATGTAGGTTATAGTTCATTCTCCAGACTCCCCCTAGTGGCCTGGAGGACTTCTGGTTTGTGGAGCGAGTTTGCAACATTTTTGCCGTTTGCTGCATTTTACTTCATTACTTCCATTTTCTGCAAAATTTTTATGTTGCATTTTTTTGTTTTGTTTTTGGAGTTTGCATTATTCGGCCTCCGTATAAAACATACGATTATGCAAACAAAACACAAACATGTGCAAACCGGGGTGTGATGTGTGCACACAAGATTGCAACATGCAGTAAAAATATCTAAAATATGCACAAAACAAAATAAACAAAATAATAATTAAAATGGAAATTAATGAGCTCATTTTAATTTATCATGCAATTAATTGATTAATTGCAACAGGCTCATTATCAGCAGCTACAGAGTGCCTGAACTCCGACCTGGGGAAAGAAAAGTGTCTTCAGTAGTTTAGAAAGACATGCTGAGTGACTGATTCAAAAACCAGAGGAAATGTTTTCACCTGCATCCTTCAGGAACTGAGGCTGAGACCATTCGTCTGCCCCGGTCAGGTAGCTCCGTATCCGGGCCGTCACACAGAGAGAACCATGGCCGATGACAGGGCTGAAGATCCCCAGACAGGAAAAGACTTTTGACCCACTGAGGAACGAGACACAAAGACGACGGCGTGTTAGAGGCACTGAAAAGGAGCACATTTCTGCTAAAATACTCACTACATTTGAAATCAATATCAGACATTTTCTAGAAAAACAAGAAAATTTCTGAGCTTTGAAGTTGAAAATTCACTAGAATTTTTTTTTTTAAATTTAAGATTAAGCTCAGAAATTATTCAGAAAAAACAAGGAAATTTCCAAGTTTCAGATATAAAAAATAAGGACATTTCTAGCAAAATGTCGAATCTGCCAGAAAAACTTTTAAATTAATCTCAGAAATTTTTAGGAAAATTAGGAAAAGTGGAAAATCTGCAAGAAGAAATTTTGATATCCTCAGAAATGTTCTTGGAAAAAGAAAAAAACAAACTTTGAAAAACTGAAATTTTGGGATTAATCTCAGAAATTTCTTAGAAAAAAACTTGGAAGTTATTATTTTTTTATTTACTTTTAAAACTCAAATTCCCTTGTTTTTTTCTAGAGGTTTTCTGAGATTAATCTCAGAATCTCTAAGTGTCTTGGTGTAAATGTTCTCGTCTTTTTCTCTGTATCTCTAACGGTCCCGACCCGCCGTGGTGCAGAACCAGACGCGGTGGAGAGATTTCAGAGCTGGTTGACCTGGTGAAGACGAGCGAGGCCCGACTCTCAGCCTGCTGGCTCCAGCTGCAGCTCACAGATCGGACTCCGTCTGCAGTCTGCTGGTAGTAACAGGACATGTTCAGCATCTCTGCAGAGGAGAATCAAAAACCTCCAGTCAAGTTCAACACCGACACTTTCAACCGTCTCAGTTTGGTTTACTAGACAAAATGTCACCTTTAGCACTAGCTAACAGCTAGCTGCTCTGAGTCTTTACTTCCTGCCTGCGCATTTACGTGGAAACTTCCCTTCATCCACCAGTTACAGTCATATTCAGCAAACTAGAATAAAGCCCATATTTCAATTTAAATTGAAATATTCTAATGTTTATCTTTTTTGGGTCTAAATTGGTTCAGAATTTAGACAGTTTGTCTGCTAAATTCAGTTTGAGACCTTTTAGCAAATTGTGATATTTTTGTGTTAATTTGTTTAATTCTGCAACGTTCAGCCTGAAACCAGTGCTGCCCTCTGTGGGTTGAACGGTGGTACTGCAGTTGAATGTTGCTATTGGTTCCAACAGTCCAGTTTGGTTGATGTCGACGTCACATGAACGTCTCTCACTCTGGGAAGGTGAAGGCAGTGGAGGTTTGCAATCTCTCAGGTCGGTGACGCAGATCCGGTCGTTTCCCTCACATGGTTTCAGCTCAAAGTGTCTCACCGTTATTTCTACCACAGAAAAACACAAACAGATCCTTTAAACTGCTATAATTTAATGTAAGCAACTTATTTTTTAAGAAATATTTACTTTATACATTTTTTTAAAGAATCAACATTTTATCTCTACTTTTTTTGGTTCTAAAACAATTTGCAGAAAAAATAAAAAAATTTTACCAGTTTTTCTGTCGTAACACGTTCAGACAAATATTAAAAAACAATAGAAGAAAAAATAAAAAAACTTTGTTGCAGCTCTTGTTTTAACGTACTTTATAAATAGAATTGTAGTAGTACTTTAAATAAACTTTAATGAACTAAAACGTGAATGACATTTTTAAAAAATAGTAGACTAAATGAGTGCAAACTAATAAAAATGAGCTGAATTTGTATTAAAGCGGTTTCCTTTCTGCTGCAGTACATGTTATCGTATACTTTTTAGAGTCAAACTGGTGTGAATTTAATGAAATGAGTTTTGGGTTGCAGACTGGTGGGACTCACATCTGACTGAACTTTGAACGGATCAATAAAAAAACAAGATTACTCGATCGATCGGATGTGGAAAATGTTTAAAAACGTTTCTGAAAATGAAAAACGCTGAGAAAAATGAAAGTTTACTAAAAGCTGGATCTTCTGTAGATGTTTTCCTCCATGGTGGAGCTTTGAACCAAACTCACCGAAGCAGAATCCACTGAGGCGAATCATCAGAGTCCAGATGAGGAAGAGCCGCTCCAGAGAGCAGCGGTCCATTTCAGCAGAACAGAACCAGCAGGAGAAACATCTGGAGAAACATCTGGAGAAACATCTGGAGACATCCAGCTGCTGTCTGCTGCAGCCCTGAACCTGAAAGTCTCACCTCTGAGGCCGAGGAGGAAGTGACTCCGTTCAGCGCGTCACGCTCAGTCCTTCACTTCCTCACCATCATCATCATCATCATCAGCGCAGAGGAGCTGTTTTTAACTCAGTAGATAAAAACAACTCCATTTTTGGATGCTAACACAAACAAAAGTACCGAGTTAAATGAAGACTGCTTTCTGGAAGTAAAACAACATCCAAGTTCAAAATTACTTTAATAATTAGAATTAAGAAAAAAAACATTTATTTTTGAGAATTAAGTCGTAACAATATAATTTTATGACTATTTTCACAATTAATTCTAGAAGTAAAATTATATTCATCCAGTTTAAAATATGTTTGACTAGTCATTAGATAATGAGAATACATTCATTACATTATAATTTCATGACTTTTTCCACAATTAATTCCAAAAATTAAATGTAACTCATGTCATCCAGTTTTCTTCCAGCAGTCGTTGCTGTTGGCTGTAGGAAGTAAAGATCTCCTGTAGCAGTCTGTATCACAGTGGCCATGAAGAAGCCTCTGACTGAAGACTGTTCTAATGAAGAGGATGTTCAGGGTCGTCCATCATTTGTTTGATTTTAAGATGAATCCTTCACAAATCACACGTTTATTTTTTAGGTCATTTTCTTTTGTCACATTTAAACCAGAATATTTTGGGTTTCTGTCGTCATCCATTCATCTCACGGTTTATAAACTCAGACAGCTAAAGCCAAAAGTATTCACACCCGGGTTATGACAGCTTTAAGTTGTTCTTTTTCTCCAGTTTGAATTAGTTTTTAAGAGCGTGTTTGTTAGTTTTTACCAGTTATTAGTTGAATATCATTTAGTTTGAATGTAGTTTTTATTAGTTACAGTAGCAGTTCGTTTTTTCAAACTGGTTAATTCTTAGCTGCAGAATTCAAAAAGGTCAAATTTGCAGACGGCTGACAAACTGCTTGTGTGTGGATAAAGAATTAAAATAAAAAAATCAATTTCACATCAAATGGAAAAGCTAATACATTTAAAACACAAAAACAAAGGATATTATATAAACACATAGTTCCAGTTAGTTAAGGTTTTCCCTCGTTAATTACTGTTTTTATTTCAGTTAATGAAAATATTTGATCAGTTTCAGTTTTTATTATATTACTTTTAGTTAAACTATAAGAATCTTTATTCAAGGTTCTTATAGATTTAAAGCAATGTGCTTTAAATCAGCACCTAAATTTTCATGCAGGTTTGGTTCTGAAAGGTGAAGCAAACGATAGAAAAAGGAGTTTCAGTTTGATTTTTTTTTGCAGAGTCGCCAAAATGTTTTACTTTTCTTGAATAATCCTCATTAGCATCAAATCCTTGTATCTGCAGGTCACCTCTGGTGTTTAGAAGGTTGGAAAGCCTCTGTGCCATCGCCCTAATCTTCAGCTCCCTCCTCAGTTTCAGGTCAGGACTCCAGCTGGGCCTGGGGTATGAATAATTATGAGCTGAACTGGTTCTCTACTGCAGGAGAAATAAAACTCCAAAAACCATGAAATTAACAAACTCATCAGTTCCACTTTTAATCTCAATTTTTGCTCCAAAACAAAATTTCTGCAATTTTTTTTTTCATATAAAATGAAAAAAAAAAAAAAAAAAGCAAAGCAAAACAAACACAATTACAAAAACTTTTACAAACATTTGAAAACAAAAAAAGAAGCAGGAGAGCGAAACCGGTTAAATTCTGTACAGACGCCCCGGGGGGCCCACATGGAGGGGGGAACGTTTTCACTGCGACACACTGAGGCCGCTGCTGCCACCTGCTGGCAAAAAGTCAAACTGCATCATCTGATGGCTGCAGAATTAAACTTCTCCGTTTGGTTGGATGATTTCCCAAATCGGCAGCCGGCCCCGCTTCCTTTACCATGAACATTATGACCTTTACAACATTTCAACTTCCTGATTTTAATCGATTCCAGCAGGAAATTAATGTTTTCTAAAAACACGACGTCCAGACGGTTCCGGTTCTGATTCGGTTCTAAAAACCTTCATTAAGTGCTTCCTGTGAACCCACAAAGACCGGACAGCAGGAGAACTCACTGAGCTGCTCTGCCCTGGGTTCTGCCTCGGTTCTGAGGAGCTGGATCCGACCATTCGCTCACCGTTTCCATGGAAACAACTCATGAAATTCATGATTGAAAATCCCGGATCGGGTCGGAGGGAAAGAAAACAGAAAAAAAAGATTTAAAAAAGAGCCAAAATCAACGGGAGAAAGAAGCAAAATGGTGGGTTCTGAAGAGCTTCTGAAGGGGCCCGGTGGGTTCTGAAGAGGTTCTGAAGGGGCCCAGAGTCCAAACAAAGGCAGACATGTTTGAAGAAACTCCCAGAAAACCCCTCGGTTCTGACTCCCAGCGGCTCCAGGCCAAACCGGACCGAGCAGGACCACACCTGAGCGGGTCCGGTCTGCGTGTGTGTTAGTGTGTGTGTGTCCGGGTCGGGCCGGGTGTTATTTGGTGCGGAGCAGCTCCAGCTGGTCCTGGTACTCTGTGAAAAGTCTCTGAAAGCGCAGATTCTCTCCGATGACGGGCAGAACCTCCCGCAGCAGCTCGCGTTTGTGCAGACCCTGAAAAGCGCGACACAGGAAGAGACACGAACACAGAGCCATCATGTTTCTGCTCTCCTGCAGACGAAAATATGAAATAAATTCACACCGTACACATGCTGTATACCCGCCTATGATCCCACCCTTAGCTTCCTGCTAAAAGCTGCTAGCTAACGATGACTAGCATTGGTTTTAGCTGTTAAGTTGTCAACACACTAAATCTTAAATGATGTAACAGACAAAGGGACACAGCGCTTTGATACTAATTATCAACACCATGACAACGAGATGAGGTCAGGAAAAAGTTTTGAAAAAGAGAAAAACAAAGTTTGCTCTTCAAACCAGCCTATCGCTGATGGTGGATGAATTCATCCGATCGTCAAACCTGATTGGCTGCCTGGAGCCTCCAGCAGCAGCGGCGGTTTATTCAGTCACATTTCTAACTAAACAGGTAGAAAAAGTTCTGTTACCAAAGTTGCTGGTTGCCAGGATGAAGCAGCAGATTTGTGGACCGGACCCAGAAGTTCTTTACAGAGTTCCCGGAGCCGGTACTCAGAACCTGGACGGAGGAGAAGGAATAATAATCTGTCAGATTAATAATCTGTAAGGAATTCATAAACGTCTCTCTGCTTCACTCTGATCATTTCCTGTCACCCATCAGGTCAGCTAACATGTCCAGGTCAAAGGTCAGCTAACGTCTTTTACCAGCCTGCTAACAGCATATTTACACTGATTCAACATCTTCCTGTTTTGATAAAATATATTTACTACATACTTCATCTTATGTCCTCTTTATATACTGAAAATCTCATCATTTCTGGTTGTAAACAATAAAAAGCAACAAAGGTGAGAATAACGGATTGGGTTCTGGTTGGTCCGAGGGAAAGCAAATGAACTCGGCGACCCGTTGGATGGTCGAATAAATCACCGAGACCGAGAGTAAGTGTTGGTTCTGTTTGCTCAGCCTCAGGTCAGAGCGAACAGAACCCGGTGGTGGCGCTCGGTACCTTCGTTGACCAGGAAGCGGGCGTAGATGAGCAGCCAGTAGCGGTACTCCTGCGCCGACTGCAGCGTCAGCGCCGACGCCAGCTGGTTCTCCAGGAAGGCCAGCGTCATGCTCTGCTGCAGGTGGTGCGGCGTGGAGGACAGGCGGGACGCCAGCCGCCCAGCGCTGCGGGGGGACAGGAAGCGTTAGCCTGGACGCCGCGGCCAGGAGGCGGAGCTTAGACAGGAAGACCTACTTCAGGTTGCGTCCCTGAACGACGGCCAGCGGCCCCGACGACGCGGCGCCGTCCTGCGACGGGAGGCAGCTCCTGAAGTCGGCGCACTGGACCAGAGAGTCTCCTTTGTCCGCAATCAGCGTCCTGCAGGAGACGCAGCGTCATTAACCGGGGATTTACCAGGTCAGCCGGGCCGGTCCGGTCCGGTCCGGGTCTCACCATGTCTCCAGAGACACGCTGA